TATATATATATATACACACACACACATATATATACACGTGTATATATATATATACACACACATATATATACGTGTATATATATATATATACACACACACACACACACACACACATATAAACAGACCTTGGAGGCAGGCCTCAGACTGATGTCTTTCAGATTAAATGTTTCTTCCCAAAAATAATCAGTCCAGATGGCACGATTTAACTTTTTTGTGATTTATGTACCTGGATGACTGAGCTTTCAAACCTTTTTTCTTATTTTATTATTATTTGTGTTAATAAATCAGTCACTCTTCACATCGTTTCATCTTCTGAGCCACAGACAAGAAGAAGTAACGGGTTTCACTTGTTTGAACAGATGATGATGTAATATTTCTAATTTGTACTTTTGTTAAACTTGTACAAGCAGAACTTAAACACGATGAAGGTTCTGTGATTTATACAAGTTCAGGGCCCAATTTTGATTGTTTAGGTTTCCAGTTTCTCATTAAAAGCCTCAAATTAACAAAAACTGTAACATAAAAACTGATTTTATTTTATTTTGGTCGCTCCCTCCGACAGTGAACTGTGTGAATTTTACTAATTTAATCAAAGATGCTGAACCTGCTGCATCCAGGCTGGTTTGTCCGTAACAAACTGAACAAAATATATTTTAATATAAGAAACAAGTTATAAATACAACTTTTTATTTTTACTGTTATATAAATAAAATGTATCATTTTTACAGCATCAAAGTTTATCGTTTCATTTAACTGATCTTTAATCCAGTTTGGACTCACTGATTAGAAGAGTGTTTCTTAAATTCATTTATTTTTAATTAATTTAGAATTTAATTATTTTTAATTAATTTATGTGAGATTTCTGCAGAAGAACTGGACTTAGCTCCACAATGAAACTTTTTAAATGTATAAGTGTTGGACAAACACACGCCCCCAACCATGACAGAACCTCTGCCGTGCCCAACAGAAGACCGATGAGCCTCGTCTTGTTGAACAGAATCAGTTTCTGTAAAACGTTTTGATTTAAAGTCGTTTCACTGAGTCCAGACTCGGAGTGAGGAGGAGATCTGATCAGAGACAACATGCACTCGTTATTAAAAAATCACGACGCTTTAATGTAGAAAAACAGGACGAGAACGACACACTAAGGGTGGGGGGGTGTTCTATACATGACAGGCCCGACAGACGGAGTGCACGCTTCCTGTCTGGTCCAGCCCAGGGGCTCGTCGCGCTCCGACTGGAGGAGGAAACGGTCTGCAGGAAGGAGAATCTGTACACAACAGGAAGGCGTGGGTCTGTTGGAGCTTACGGTCAGTCCATCCCTCCGAGCTCGTGCTGTTTGTACAACTGTGAGACGAGACTCCCTGCAGGAAGAGAACAAAACGAGCAGTGAAACCCGCCTGCAACATGCCTACAACACGCCTGCAGGAACCAATACAAACTGTTATTTATCTGTTGAGGCTGAAACAATCGAAACACAAACGCTGCAGTCGAGTTTGGAGCAGAACTCTGAGGAAGCAGCCACATCGACAGTTTCACGACCATGAATGTCAGATTACTTTGTTTTTATTCAACTTCAACAGTTAAAAAAAAAAAGTTTCATTTCACGACAGATGAGCTCTGAAGCACACAGGGTCTAAAATATACATACATGTTGAAATACAGAGGAGGTCTTTTAATTTGAAAAGGCCTGGTAGCTTCCTGTCGGCGATCATGATTGACTGCAGCCGGTAGCTTCTCTTAGTCCACATGAAAAAGTTTTACAGCCCTCAGTGGACAGACTAAAGAGTCCTTGTTGGTCCAGGAACAACCCAAGAACTGAAGCCTGCCATGAACCGGATCCTGCTGGAACACCAGAGTCTTTGTCCTCTAGTGTCCCTGTCCACTAGTGTCCCTGTCCACAGTGAAACTAGTATTACATTCCCTTAGACTGAGAGGACCCAGAAAGAAGCTAAAAAACCTGCAGCTGTCCATGAGGACAAATGTCTTCAGGAGAAAAGTTTGACGGTCAGACGAGACAAAGCTGAGCTACTGGGACACAAAGACAAGAGGGACATTTGGAGGAGCCCAGGTGAGACTTCCAGACCTGAGAGCACTGAACCAGCTGTCAGGCACGGTGGTGGGAGCATCATGCTGTGGGACAAAGTGGATGGAAGAATCAGAGCTGGTTTTAGATCAAATGAATCAGGTTAGCGTTTGGCTCCTTTGGTTCTCCCCAAAGCCGTGACCCGGTTCTCTGAATAAAATCCGGGTCTGAAACCAGAAAACCAACCGGTTTAAATGAGCTCTACCAGAAGAAGGAGAGACTAAAAGCCTGAGGTCCAGGTCCAGGTCCAGGTGGGACCTGCTGAGGAACATTAACAGCATATTAATGGGTGTATGTAAATATTTGACCCTGTGTGAATCAGAGAAAATCTCGTTTTTTTTAAAACATTGAAGTCGTTTGTTGCAGATTCAAGAACGGTTCCAATAAATCATTAAAAACCTGAAATGATTCTGACGTTCCCGATGAGGGACAGAAACTCCGAGTGAACAGAACTTCCACATCCACACAGAACCCAACACTGAGACAGAACCAGAGCAGCACCACAGCAGAGTCACACAAAAAGCCTGCGGAGCGAGGCGGCAGTGGGAGCAGGAGGGGCAAAGGCCAAGCAGGAAGTGGACCCATCAGCTCGCCCGCAGGAAACGAGCTGCGCCGAGTCCACCGGAACACGTCTGCACACCGCAGCCCGGAACCACCAGCTCTAAAGACCGGGTCAATCAGAACCGAGCTGCAGCTGGCAGAGGTTCTGCTGATAAAAAGCCACAGTCCGGTCGGTGTGTGCGCCTCACAGGACGTCCGTGAGCTCTGAGCACATTTTTGATGATTTGTTGTACAAACTAAACGCAGCGACTGTAAAAACATCTTCGTGTTCTCTGATCAGACTCGCTGGACGTGACTCGGACTCAAAGCTGCAAGACATTTGTGAAAAACTGGTGAACTTTTGGCCGTGCACATTAATTTGTTGCCTCCTTTATGATTGAGGAGAGCAGCACAAAGCTAGTGTCGGAGGCGCTGTGAGCATTGAGGCGCTTTATGATTGAATCTCCAGGGGAACACTTTAGAAACGAAGACCGGCTGATTAGGACCCGTTTTCTCTCTGATCAGTGCCGTTTCTGGACGTGACGCTCGGGGCTGCAGCCTCGGACGGTTCCCGTTCTTGAGACGGGTTGCAGACGTGACAGATCTTCAAATCTGAAGCCGCAGGACTGCGAGGATCCTTTCTTCTTCTTTCTAAATAGAGCTGGGTGGTATGCTGGTTCCTCCCAAAACCGGGTGTTATTTTTGTTATATGAACTTTCCGTAAACCTGCACACCCGTTTAATTAGCCTGAACAACGTTCGGAACACCGCGCTCACCAATAAACTGTTTCACGGGGGACCCTTTTCCTTGCTGCGCCGCTGAACGCGCAGGCAGGAAACAGAGCAGCACAAAGCGAGTGTCGGAGGCGCTGGGCGTGTGGAGACGGACACAAAGTACGGAGCTGCGGCAGATCTCACGGCCGAGGGTGATGCTCAACAAGAACCGACGCCTAAACAGACGGTTTCTGTTGTGGGGAAGTACTTCGGCTTTAAAAGCTCGGATGTTAATCAAACGACGGCGAACTGCCGAGTTACAGCGACCAATTTGTTCCACCACCTCAGCTCAGATCAGATTTGGACCTTCTGAAGATAGTTCAGGTTTAAGAATAATAGCTTTTACTTTTTTTATTTTTAAAGTTCAATAAAAAATTCTATATTTCACTGCAACAGTCCACGTGATTCCTTCAATTCATTAATGACGCTGCCCTGAAAACTACTTCTGGAATAACATTTGTGTGGACCTGAGCGTGTGGGGCGTCATTCCCCTCAACCAGTACAAACTGTGCTTAACACACAGTCAAACACGTGATACTGGTACGATTGTTTAAAATACCGTGATAGAAGACTTTGGTCGTACCGCCCAGCGCTTCTAAAAGATGAGCGATGTGAGTATTTTGCCTGGAAGCCACCGTGCAGCTCTCAGGAACAATAAAAGTTGAATGAATCCTGGTTCTGATCAGCTGACGGCACCGTCTGAACACTTCTAGATGTTTTTATCGTCCTGCTGAGACGGAAACACCTCCTGTCTGAACCTGTCGTTTATGAGACCACAAGTCTGGAGTTCTGACTGGACCGGGTCCAACTGTGATCAAACCCACTCTGCCCTCCTGACTGTGGCTTTACGGCAGGCGGGTCTGTGTGGTTCAGGGTGGGGGGGCTGGAAGCAGTAGGGATGGGGTGTTTGGAAACCAGACAGCAGCGCTCCCACACTCAGCAGCAGCAGGGGTGGTGGAGTTCTTACCTGTGGCCAAGGCCCCCTCTGCCCTGCCCTTCATCCCTCCTCCTCCTCCTCCTCCTGCTCCTATTAATCCTCCTCCTCCCAGACCAGAGCTGCCCAGGGCGTCGGGCACCACAGGGAAGGAGGGCCGATCGCGCCTGTAGGGTTTAGGCTTGAAGGAGAAGTCTTTGTCTTTACCTTTGGAGCCTTTGGGCCGGCCTGCGGTCTTCTTCTTGGACTTGCTGTCCCCCTTCACGCCCAGCAGGGGGTGCACTTCTGAGAACAGAGAGGACAAGGCGCAGAGGTACTGAACATTAAAGTTTAACAGAATAAAGAGGACATGATTTAAGTTTCTGTCTGAAAAAAGGATTCCCGAGGAGAACTGAAAGTTCTGATCAGCATCAGGACCCGTTTCCACGACGCCATTTTTAATCTGAATCCGAACGTTTCAGCCGTCGACACGGATTCTCTGACGTTTTAATCCAGGACTCAACGTGGACCTTTTTTAAACTCCTGGAATCATTTTACTTACCTGGAAGCAGGAGCGCCAGGTAAGTTTACATTTCCTCTCATCTTTTTTAGATTAATCATTTAAAGTAACTCCGCCTCCTCGTCAGTCCAAACAAGCCTTTCATGCTCCAGATGAGCAAAACACAAAGATCACAGCGCCAACTAGTGGCCTGACATGAAAACTACAGCGAGTTCAACGTCTTTTTATGGTTTCGTCTAAGCGGCGCTCTCAATCGCAGCGTTTCCATGGCAACGTGTAACATTTTTACAGCCAACATCAGAGAACCTGTGTCGCTCTGGGCCCCAGATATAAAACCTGAGGGCAGTTCTGTTGTTCAGATGTGGTCTCACCGTCGCTGGGCACCCCCTGCAGCTCGATGTTGGTGGTCCGGGCCTTCTTCTTGGCTGGACCCCCCTCAGACGAAGGCTGCCGCTGCTTCTTGTCGCCGCCGGCCGACGCGTCCTCCGTAGCACCGGGCTGGACCGAGGTGTCCGGTGGAGGACCGAAGGGGTTCTCCTCCGGGTCTTCGACCTCGGGGGCGATGGGCAGGTACAGCAGGGCCTTGTTGTCCTCCAACTCCTCATCACTGCAGGAACAAACATGGAAGAGGCCCACTTATAATATAATATAATATAACTTAATTTGATTTAATCTCTGCTGAAGCAGCAGTTGGAGCATGGAGAGTAGACGTCAAGTTTAATCGTGTATTTACCTGCATTAAATCTGCAGGACTTAAGACCACGTTCAAAACAACACTAATCCGTCACAGTGACTGAGAAGTTTAATCCATGAATACTCCATTAATCATCAGTTTAAAAGGTCATTTGATTTCTGCAGACCGACCCAAAGTTGGTCCTGACCACAGCTTTGAGAAGTATTAACTAAAGATTTTGCTGACTCAAAGTGGAACTTGGAGGTTTGTTCTCTTGTAGCTTTTATGTGTCCTCACCTGCTGCAGAAAGCAACAATAGGATCAACAGAAGTCACGTCCACCTCCTCGTCCTCTGCAGCGTCTGCGCCTGCAGCGTGAACACAGGTTTTTATCTGTGAGGCTTCAGGGGAAATCATGAGAAGGTCAAACAGAAAACAGGCGGTGGTTCAACCTGTCTGCTCAGGTTCGCTCTTATCCTCATCCTCAATGTCGAACTCAGACTCCCGCTCCTCGTACTCCACGTTCTCATCCAGCTCTTTAAAGTCTGGGGCGAAGGCGCTCCAGTTTTCCTGTAGAAAACCAAACAGTTTGCGTAAAAATTAACAAAAAGCTACATCGGTTCAGATTAAAGCTCAAAGTTTGAGGTTCAGTTTTCTTTTTTTGATTTTGTGTGATGTCATTTTTGCTCATTGCCTACTTACTACTTGGTTCTGAGCCCAAATGGACACGACTCCACTGGAGATGGAGGCAATGATCGGTCGAACAGGGTGCCACTGGAATCATTTAAAGGTGAGAGGAGTAAGTTAGCCTCTCAGGGCATCAACAGACGTGTTAATGCAACAGTTTTGGTTTGCTGATATTCTTACTGCAACGTCCAGGAGAAGCTCTCCTCTGGTGCCGTGCAGAATCTTCACCAGGTTCCCGATGCTCTTCTCCCAGATGTAGAGGGCGTGCTGTCGGGCCGAACCAGCCACGATGTACTCGCCATCCCCCGAGAAGCAGCAGCGCTTCCAGGGAGTCCTGGTCACAGAAAACCCACCAAGTCGACACAAAACCAGGAGAGAGATGAGCTCTGAAACATCAGGACTCAGATGATATAAAGGAAAAATCCACATGTTCCTATAAACACGTCAGTCCCCCCCACCCCCCAAAAAGTCAATCTTGTCTGCAAAACCTTAACAGAAGAATTTCTCAGATTCTCCTAAATGAAAATTCTCTGAAAGTTGTCTGCAGTTTAATACACTTTATTTATATTATATTATTGTTTTATTTATTTGTTTAGCGTATAGCTTAGATCCTTTTTATAGTTTATATTTTTGCTATTTTTGGGTGTAACTGAGATCTTGAGTACACAATTTCGTTCCACCTCATGTACCACATGTGATGCGAATGACAATAAAGTCACCTTGAACCTAAAGATAAATCCATAAATTATAAATATTACTGATAAAAAAAAACAACAATATTCTCAACAAACTTCATGTAGTCTGACAGCGTCCCGTGCAGACGTACCTGTTGACCAGGTCCTGTAGTTTCTGCATGGGTTCTGGTTCCCCATCTCGGCCACAGGTCAGGATTTCTCTGCCGTCATAGACCCTGATGATCCGGTCTGCTGTGTTGATCAGGAAGCAGCTGCATGAAGACACAAGGCGAGAGGACAAAAACAAAGATTCAGGTCAAACGCATCTTTCAGCTGAACGTTTTCTCCCTCGTTGTGGTTACGGACGACTCCAAACACGCAAGAGCTCAAACTGAGAAATCCACATCATCTTCATCAGTCTAGGTTCTGAGACAGGAAGATCTCCACCATCTCACCTGCCCTTGCGTGCAAACTCGATGGATTTGATGGCAGTGGTGTTGCTGGTGCCAGTTGTCACTCTGAACGAAGCCACCAACTCCTGAGTGTTTGTGTTCAACACCAGAATCTGCAACAACAGAAGAGGAGAAACAACCAAAACATCATGAGGCTGCCCGTTTCTAATCTGAGCTCAAGAGGAGACGGACTTGAAAATCAGGCACCGCCCATAAGACACTTGCAAACTTAGTGCGTGCACGTTTAACTTTGTGCGTGCACGTTTTTCATTTGGTAGCGACTTCAAACATCTCAAACATGGAAATTGTGACATTTTTCATATGAAGTTGTCGGTCAGAGTTGCTGACCTTTCCTTTGGCGTTGCCGGTGTAAATATATTCTCCTCGCCGGTCAAAAGCTGCCACTACGTTTAAGTCTGAGTCATCGTCTACGGGCAGGATGACATGTTTGGAGTCTGACAGCGTCAACAGGACCGGCGCTGACTTCATGGGACACACTAATACCTTGTCCCTGAAATACAAACACAATTTCTTTAAAAGATAAATATTTGACAGAGTCTGAAACAAAAACTATCATGAGGTCTTCTTTCTGGTTAAATCCAACTATCAGAGACACTCACATGTCTCTAGGATGACACTGCAGTTTCAGGATGGGGGAGGGAAAGCGGAACCTCTGGTCACAGTCTCCAGTCAGGACGTCCCACTGTGAGACGATGTTGTCTGTAGAAGCACTCACCAGCTTGTGGCCGTCTCGACTCCAACTGGACACACAAATATAAACAATCGTTTAACAGTCATGTGCCACTAAATTTGAACAGTCCCAACAAATCAGTTTGAAAATCAATGTCAAGTTAAGAAACAACTCTTATGAACAAGAATCACATAATTATGTTTTAATGGCTAAAATAAAGTATCAAAAAGGAATAAACGGTGGCTCAGTTGGCAGAGCTGCTGCCTCTCAGTGAGAAGGTCACCAGGAGGGAGGGATGGATGGAAAGCAATAAAGAGTTAACTGTTGGTTGTATTTTAAAAAACTGTGATTACAAATATCACTGCGAAGAGTTACAGTTAAAGTGTGAACGTGAGAGACTGAATAACATTTCTTACCATAAGGAGCAGACTGGGTGGATGTGTGCGCTGATAATTTTGGCGATTCCCCGTGTGAGGAAGTCCCAGATGACAATGCGGCCGTCGTTGCACCCCACAGCCAGGAGGGTGCCCCAGCGGTTGAAGGTGCAGGTGAGAGCCATGCTGATACAGTCCAGAGTCCCATCTGCCTCCTGTCCACAGACACAAATACAGAGTTTACATTTCTGATGAGACACAGAGAACGTTCCCAAAATCAGGGGCTCCAACTGAACGTGATGTGTGTTTATTACCCAAAGCTATTTTAATTACTCATCAAAATCACATGTAGGTAATAGGCTGCACCGATTGCAGTTTTCTGGCCGATCACTGATTTCTAAAAAGTCTGACCTGCTGATTCCTATTTTGGCCGATACACATTTGTTTTATAAGCGACACTGTCAGGTGTTATAAGGTCACAACGTAACTTCAATTTTCCAGTATTATTTTATTGAAAAACATACGCTTGAACAATATCCTAGAAACAATACAAACTTGTTTTAACTGGTCATGAGGTAGTGCTCTGAAATATAAATGACGTTCAGACAATTGTTAAAACGAAAAAAATCTGTAAAATCGGTTTCTCATGCAAGTATCAGCCGATTTCCCTAAATTAAGGAAATCGGGGCCAATTTATCGGTGCACCCCTAGTAGGTAATGCTGGCGACTTACCTCTGGATAGTTCTGCCCGAACGACTCTAAAAGAAAAACGATACAAATATATACATTTCCACAAGTAAACAGTCATATAAAAGCAGCTAATTAGAAAGTATAAAATGCATTTTAGAAATCCTAAGATATTAAACAGAACTGTAACATGTCACAATGATAAACTCAACACATGCAGTGTAAATATGAACATGATATTTAAGTTATTTAAGTGTTAAATAAAACAACAAAAAACACATCAACACTTGAAAATATTACTGTTTGGAAACTGATGATATGAACAAGGCTCAGGAATTATGCCCAGTACTAGAAAGCTGTAAAACTAGACTTGATTCACTTTAAACCTGATTATTAAACCTGCTTAAAGATATGCAAAATATTGTTTACATTTTAAAATCGAGAAGTCAACAGTACCAATCTTTAGCTTTATCCATTATGATTTAAGAATAAACGTGTTTTTTTTAACAGTAAAGTTTCTGCTCATCATCTGATGAACAAACTGCGTTACTATTATTTAATAACTGGTTATAAACAGGGAACATAAAGAAAATATATATTAAACATTCAGGCTGTTTCTATTTTAACATCACTGAGAAGCTAACGGAAGCTAAATAAATCTTGTTTCACTTCCATAAACATTTATAACTATAAAAAATATCAAAACAGTGTGCACCTTTAGTTTAACACGTTTACTGTCACTAATCCACATTTTAGTGAATTAACTCGTATTTTAGCTGCTAATGCTAACTCAGGATGCTAACCATAACAAGTTCCTGAGCGCTGAACGTAAACTGAGAAGTAAAAACGCAAAAATGAATTATCTTCTGGTATTTACCGAGCAGCTCTAGATTCATGTCTGGATATCCAAGAGTCCAAAGTCTGAAAATTACTTGATTTTTTAGAATATTTTACAGATTTTTCTATCGTTTTCCTTCACATCTGCAGCAACTATCGAAGGCTGATGGAGCCTGTGAGGACCCAAAACATGGAGGCCGAAGAAGTGCCTGAACCAAAAACAAGCAACCGGTTAGAAAATATTTATTTCCGCTTTTTCTTTAGATAGAATTTTAAAAAAGTAGCTGCGAAAAACACAAATTTCACGTATTATACACAATAAAAACACTACCGTAAACTTTGTCATGATCAATTAGTATGAACAACTTTTTCTGTTCTAAAGTTTTGCACACTTTGGAAGTAAAGTTTAAAAATAATAATCACCAGGTCTTTTTTTAAGTAGTTAAAATCAAACCTCAGACGAAAATCGAAACGAAACGTCGACGTGGTATTGTTTTATTTTCATATGTTTTAATGTTAAAAAAAAGAACGGTACATATCAGCCAGGAGCTGATGAACAAATGCACTGATAATGATCATCAGTGTGGATTCAGAGGAGCACACAGTAACACAACACCAAGACGGAAAGACATCAGCAATGACCTTAGAAAAGCAGCTGTCACTGTCTGCCAGTTTGGAAGGGGTCAAAGGTCATGTCCGTCGTTCTACAGAAAGAAATGCGTGCACATCTGCTCACAGACTCATGTTCATGTTTGTGGTGATGTTCAATGTTTTATGTTATGAGTGCTTAGTGTATATTTAGTTGATGTTTTTCTTAGTTCATATCTTAGATGTTATTACTGTTTTTCTTATACATTTTATTGTTGGATGTAACTGGGACCCTGTGTACATAATTTCGCTCCACCACATGTACCACATGAGGTGCGAATGACAATAAAGAAACTCTGACTCTGACTCTGAAATTCAAAAGCAGAAAATATTTAGGACAGCAGACAATTCACCCCACAGGTCAGACCGTGCAATGCTCTGAAACATAATTTCTGTAGTCCTCAGTAAGCAGGTCAAAGGTCAAAGAATACAGGCCACAGACAGACTCATCCAGATTCTTGTACTTGGTTAAAATGTTTATTTTTAATATTTGTTTAATAAACTCTTCTTGATCCTTGTCCTGTCATTGGTCTGTATTATGACGTCATTATTTGCATTAAATTTGTTCTTAAAGCCACATCTGTCTCAGAAACACCAGCTGGACTTTATGTTTTTTATGAAGTTCAAACCCCGGAGACGTGTCTCTGCTGCTGATGCAGGATCCGGGGAAACATCCGGAGCGCGAGCGTCATCAACGGCCTCAGGTAACTTCCTGTTTTCACAATAAAAGCCCAAATCAGGTGAACCAGAAACCTGATATTAAAAAGTGAAACTTTTCAAAACAAATAAACTGAGACGTTGTTTTTGTGAAATTAAATTAGAAATTTGATTTTTCTTTTCACCGGACAACAGTAAAAACAGGTCTCTCTTGTAAATGAGTCCTCGAGGCTCAATGGGACTAACCTGTAGAAATAAAGGTTGAGTTGAACTGAGTTGAAAAATAACATAATGAATAATCGCTGCTTTAATTTCCACACATTATCTAACTATAATTAGTTTCTTATAGAATTTCATGAATAAAAATGTTTATTCTGTATACAGCAGTGAAGCTCATTTTACGAATACAAGAAGTTATAGTTTGTTTAATTTATAATTGTTTTCATAATAAAATTTTAAAATCTGAAGTTTTTTTTTGTCACATAAGTTCATCCATCCACCCGCCCATCATCTTTACCCACTTCTTTCTTTCTGGGTGACTGTGTGAGAGGTGGGGGACACTCTGGACAGGTCTCCAGTCCATCACAGGGACACAGAGACAAATGAGACAAACAAACATTCACTCTCTCACCTAGGGACAGTTTAGAGTTACCAGTCAGCCTAACATGTTTTTGGTCTGTGGGAGGAAACCGGAGCACCCAGAGACCGATTCGGTACCTCAGAGACATTTTCCAGCTCATCTTGGGGATCCAAAGGTGTTCCCAGACCAGAGAAGATTAACAATCCTTCCAGCAAGTTCTGGGTCTGCCTTGGGGCCTACTACCTGTACGCCCTCTCTACCCCGAGCTCCCCCCGGGGGACGGAGCTCCTCCTCCTGTCTCTCAGGCTGAGCCCAGCCCTCCTATGAAAGAAGCTCATTTCTGCTGCTTGGATCCAGGATCTGGTTCCGTTATTCTTGATCCAAACCTCATGACCACAGGTGAGAGTGGGAGCATAAACAGACCAGTAAACCCTGAGCTTTGCCTTTTGACTGTGCTCTTTCTTCACCACGAATGACCAAAGCAACATCCTCGTTACTGAGGATGAGGCCCTGATCTGTTGATCTATGTCCATTCAGCTGATTGTCTCAATAAAGTTATTTTTTATTTTATCTGTATTTATTTATAAATGTAATTCTGTACTTTATTGAGAAATTTTGCCTGCAAAATAATTTCTATATTTTTATTTTATTTTGCTTGTTGTCATTCATGTTTATCTTTGTAAAACTTTTGTTTATGAATGTCAATTTTTTTTCCCAAACTTTGTTCTGTTTTGTAAATGATTTTTAACTTGAGTCTTTTTATTATATAAGTGATGCGTTTTTTAACCATATGATATTAATTTCCAAACATTAAAACTGCACATTGTAGAGTGGCCTTTTATTGTGGTCAGCCTAAGGCTCACCTGTGCAATAATGTCTAATCAGCATCTTGATATGTCACACCTGAGAGGTGGATGGATCATCTCAGCAAAGGAGAAGGGCTCACTAACACACGTGCACAAGTCTGTGAACAATATTAGAAAGAAGGTCTTACATAAAGAAGTTTTAGATCTTCGAGTTCAGCTCATGAAAAACTGGAGCAAAAACAAAAGTGTTGTTTATATTGTTGTTCTTTTTTTATTATATCTGAAACGTACAATGCAAAGAAAACAAGATAAATAATGTTTTAAGTGTTTCATTAAAACAATTTATGTTTCCAATTATGTTGTTTTTGCATGAACACATCACAAATGATTTGTCCATTATGGTACAATGTTGAAACTTTTAACTTTCTTTAATTTTTTAATATTGATATTATTAAAGTGTCTCATTTCAAATTTCCTACCAGATACAATAAAAAATCGCAGCACGGTGGCGCAACTGGTAGAGCTGCTGCCTCTCAGCGAGCAGGTCCCCGGTTCAAATCCCGGTCCAGGGCCCTTCAGTGTGGAGTTTGCATGTTCTCTCCGTGCTGTGTGGGTTTTCTCCAGGTGCTCCAGTTTCCTCCCACAGACCAAAAACATGTATGTCAGACTGACTGATAACTCTAAATTGTCCATAGGTGTGAATGGTTGTTTGTCTCGGTGTGTCCCTGTGATGGACTGGAGACCTGTCCAGGTGTCCCCCGCCCCTCGCACAGTGACCGCTGGACCTGGGCACTGGCGACCACCGTGACCCAAAATGGAAGAAGTGGGTAAAAGATGATGGATATGATAAAAATGTAGACACTGTGGATGTGTAAGAGCTATAAAATTATTTTTCATGACGTCCAACGTGTTTCAAATTGATACGAACATGTTGTTTTTGTCTGTCGTTTTGTTGTTTTACTAATAAAACCAAAGACCATCAGGTGCTGTTTCTAAAACTACAGGAACAAATGATAAACTACGTGTTTTATAATAAAAACAATTCACAGTCGTAGAGTTTATGGGTGTTCTGATGCACGCTCAATAATCCAGGTAGAAAAATATAACAAGATTAACACATTAAACTTGTTTTAAACAATAATCTTGTTACAAACAGGAAGTGCAGCAGAACAGAAGAATCACAAACTGAACCCTGAAATAAAATGAAGCTTTGATCATGATCTAAGGAAAGCTTCTTTTTTTTTTTGTTGTTGTTGTTGAGGAAAATCAGTGGATTTGTAAGCTTTTATTTTGAAGGTCTGTAACGGAAGCGCGGCTCGTTGTTGTTTGACCGCGTGTGTGTTGGCGTGTGCGCGCGCGTGCTCAAGGCGCCACGTCGGCAGAAGCTGTTGTAGAGCAGAGGACCAGAGCAGTGGCTCCGCAGAAAGTGCGGAGAAGAAGTTAAAAACCTGCGGGTCTGACGCGTGAAAACCCCGCAGCAGCTGCTGCGTTCACTTCCACACAGAAAAGTCTGTGAACACAAGAACTGACGCCAGGGGCTGCTGCTGGAGGCTCAGGTTTCTCTCAGGTGTGTTGGAGGGACAAACATCATGGTGAAGGTAAGAACTCAGGTGTGTCTCGACTAGTTTAACTCTTACCCGCGTGCACGTGACTTTCAGGTGCACGAGATGATGTGGACGTCCTAAAAGCTCTGCCTCAAATCTAAAACCCAGAAGATAAAAAGTCAGGAAGTCTGGAGATGGTTCCAGAAGAACAACCTGGAAGGAGTTTAATTTTTATGATAAATGTTGAATAAATCCTCAGAGCGCATCTTAAATAAAATCACAAAGTTTTCACCACAGCAGAATTTAAAGTCCTGCATCCAGGAAGTCTGGGAAAACATTTCTCTAATTTTATTCCCAGTTCCAACATTTCTGGGGAAAAATCTGTTATTTTTATATTAATAAAATCTAAAAAATGGAAACACTTGCAGTTTTGGACACAAAACAAACCCTTTGAGAGCAGTGAAGTTTAAAAATGTGCTTTTAAAAGTTCACGTTTATAAAATGCATGTTGGCAACAGTTTGCAGATCTTCTCACTCCGAGTTATGTTTTACCAAATAAACGTCATAAACTCATAACTCAAACTTTTCATCACAGAAAATGTTTCAATGTGAGTGTAGGAAAGTGTCATGGCCGACGTTCCTATTAAACACAAACTTTGTTGTTGTTGAAACACTGAAGGATCAGCGGAGTCAATAAAACTCTTTGTCTTATTAGAATCAACCAGTTTGAATAAATAAATAAACCAGTTTGGAAACATCTGCAGCTCCACGCTGCAGGACTCGTTCATCTTCCTCTTCTGCTCAAATGCAGAAAGAATCTGAGCCAACGGCCGCAGAATTACCCAATTCCCAGGCGGCACGAGTCTGCTTCACATTTAGGAGCCGACTTCAGCTGAACTCGTTGCTCCAACCCAGAGTGAGTTCTGACCAGCAGAACCTTCTCGGCTGCGTGTTGGACTCCTTAACAAAAATATGTTCTCCATGCAGGAGCAGAAAACACGAGGGTCACAGAGACTCCTCCGAACTGTGACGAAAGGAACGGTTCTGCAACGTTCTAAAGACATTTGACAGCTCCTGCATGAAGTCCAGCATATTGTCTCCCCTTGGTTCTCCTCTTGGTACTCTCCTTGGTTCTCCTCTTGG